CTATACTAGGGTCCGTAGGTAGGAGGCAACGGAGGAAGAGGTGACCTACTCCTTTTCAGGGGCGCTGCGCGAAGAGCAGCGCGGTACGATGTTCATGCCAATACCTGAGCCGATACGTTAGCGGCGTATGACGATATAATGGTGATATGAGCGGACTTCACACAGTGGGGGGTTCATCGTAGTGACGTCCAATGCAAATTCAGATTCGACCTTACCATCCCAGCGGGTCCGCACAGTGACGCCCTACGTACATTCATATTAGCCAGCCGCTCTGCGGTTGATCAGGAGTTTCTGCATATAAAAATAATAGGCGAGAGGAGAATGATCGCGAGGATTATGAGCAGGATCAGGAGGGCGAGGCTCGGGAGGGGGAGGATCAGGAGAGCGTGGGTCGCGCGGGTAAGGATCAGGCGAGCGTGGGGCAGGAAGGCGATGGGGCCTGACCTCCTCGCGCGCCTTGCGAGGATGTCTCGGGCGAGGGCCCTGCTGGGACACCCCCAGGGCGCCCTGGAACGCGCCCGGAAATGGTCCTTGCAGGCGCGGTGGGACCTGACCTCCACGCGCGCCGGGGGTCGACTCTTCGAGGATGTCTCGGGCGAAGACCCTGCTGGAACATGCCCAATGCACCCCGGCGCGCGCCCCGGAAACGATCCCTGGGGGCTCGGTGGGGCCTGACCTATGCCTTCTGTACGACGACGACCACGACCACGACTACGACCACGACCACGACCGATTACGAGTACGACTCCGACGACGACTACGATGACGACGACGACGACGTCGACTACGACGGCGACGACGACTACTACTAACCGAGAAAAGTCTTTAACACCCCCCTCGCAACAACGGGAAACGAAATATTTGTCTGGCGACCTTGTTGACGGACTGGGGGCCCCGACAAGAACGGAAACTATTTCCCAACCATCCTGTGGTGTTGGGTCCTCGTTTTGAAGAGACAGCGCCCGCGTCCTCACTCCTCTCCTCCTCCCCCCCTCCTCCCTCCTCCCACCATCATCATCGTCATCATCATCATCATCATCATCATCAGCATCATCATCATCATCATCATCATCATCATCATCATCGTCGCCGTCGTCATCATCATCACCGTCATCATCATCATCATCATCATCATCATCATCATCATCATCATCATCATCATCATCATCATCAGCATCATCATCATCACCATCATCATCATAAGGCCCGAGTAGGGAGCTCCATCGAAGGCCCCAGTGGCAGGGTTCGCATGGCGGCCCCGCCCCATTTTGGCGCACCCCTCACACGGTTCGTGGCCCCATAGGGAGCTCCACCGAAGGCCCCAATGGCAGGGTTCGCATGGCGACCCCGCCCCATTTTGGCGCACCCCTCACGAGGATCGTGGCCCCGTAGGGAGCTCCACCGAAGGCCCCAGTGGAAGGGTTCGCATGGCGGCCCCGCCCCATTTTGGCGCACCCCTTGCACGCTTCGTGGCCCCATAGGGAGCTCCACCGAAGGCCCCAGTGGCAGGGTTCGCATGGCGGCCCCGTCCCATTTTGGCGCACCCCTCACACGGTTCGTGGCCCCATAGGAGCTCCACCGAAGGCCCCAGTGGCACCGAGGCCCCAGGGCAGGGTTCGCATGGCGGCCCCGCGCCATTTTGGCGCATCCCTCACACGTTCGTGGCCCCATAGGGAGCTCCACCGAAGGCCCCAGTGGCAGGGTTCGCATGGCGGCCCCGCCCCATTTTGGCGCACCCCTCACACGGTTCGTGGCCCCATAGGGAGCTCCACCGAAGGCCCCAGTGGCAGGGTTCGTATGGCGGCCCCGTCCCATTTTGGCGCACCCCTCACACGGTTCGTGGCCCCATAGGGAGCTCCACCGAAGGCCCCAGTGGCAGGGTTCGCATGGCGGCCCCGCCCATTTTGGCGCACCCTTCACACGGAACGTGGCCCCATAGGGAGCTCCACCGAAGGCCCCAGTGGAAGGGTTCGCATGGCGGCCCCGCCCCATTTTGGCGCACCCCTCACACGGTTCGTGGCCCCATAGGGAGCTCCACCGAAGGCCCCAGTGGCAGGGTTCGCATGGCGGCCCCGCGCCATTTTGGACCCCTCACACGTTTCGTGGCCCCATAGGAAGCTCCACCGAAGGCCCCAGTGGCAGGGTTCGTATGGCGGCCCCGTCCCATTTTGGCGCACCCCTCACACGGTTCGTGGCCCCACCGGAAGCTCCACCGAAGGCCCCAGTGGCAGGATTCGCATGGCGGCCAAGCCCCATTTTGGCACACCCCTTGCACGCTCCGTGGCCCCACAGGGAGCTCCACCGAAGGCCCCAGTGGCAGGGTTCGCATGGCGCCCCCGCCCCATTTTGGCGCACCCCGCAAACGGTCCGTGGCCTAATAGGGGGCTCAACCGAAGGCCCCAGTAGCAGGGTTCGCATGGCGGCCCAGCCCCATTTCGGG